TTTAAAATGATGCATCTCACCACAAATCAAAACCAAGGTCTCAGTTTCACCTTTAAGAGATTTCTTTGCTTCATTGTGTTTGGGAGGGGTACCAAAAACTTTGGGTCGCATCTGTGATAGTAACTATGTTCAGCCCTGAGCTCAGGCCTGAGAGTACAACTTGACGAAGTAGAAGTCTTCAGCTAGAAACTACATGGATTTATATCTCTGCCACACTGAAGTCAGTTACCCTCTCCAGTGAGGGTAACTGAATTGTTTGGGGTTCAAGACGCAGGATTATTAAGCACTGCTAACATAAAATCAATGTAATTTTTTTTAAAAACAAACAAACATCGGAATTACCTACTTAAAGGAAACTACGTTTGTTAAAATAGTATGAAAATACGAATACTGCTGTTGTGGTTACTGCTCAGAAATTAGTTTGATTTCTTCCGTTCAAATTCACTGCACATAATGCCAATTGAAAAACAAGTCTCAGTTGCTGGACAAAACAATTTGGTGTGCCTCAATGTGAAATAAACTTTTTGTCAATAATAATAATTATATTCATTTAAAATCCCCTTGTTTGATAAGCCGACATCTAATTGTGCTGTTATAGCCATTATATTCCATATAGTACAATTAAAAAAAATTGTGTCCTTATGAATTTCAAACTTTGATAATTTATTTTTCATTGTAGATTATTTGCTTCTTCTTTTTTTTACACATACATGGAGCTTTTGGGGAATCGGTGTATTGTTTAAACCTTAGTGGACACTTATTTGGTGAGACATATCTATCTATATCTCTACCTTGATATAGATATATCTATATAATTAGTCTCAGGATGTTTTACCAATAGTAATTACTAACCTCTGGGTTCCTCTCCCTAAGCCTGGCTCTGCCAGAGGTTTCTTCCTGTTAAAAGGGAGTTTTACTTTCCCACTGTAGCCTGTAGTGCTTGCTAATACATGGTCTTCAAATTGTTGTGGTTGCTGTTTGTTTTTGATATAATAATTTTAAAAAAAGAAGATAGTAAGGTCTGTAGTCTAGAACAAAAATTGGCTCCATCCATCCGTCTTCTTCCGCTTATCCGGGGCTGGGTTGCAGGGGCAGCAGCCCAAGCAGAGAAGCCCCACACCTCCCTCTCCCCAGCGACCTCCTCCAGCTTGTCCACGGCAACACCAAGGCGTTCCCAGCCCAGCCAAGAGACCATGGCCTCAGATTCGGAGGTTCTGATTCTCCTTTCTCCTCTTCCAACTCTCTGTGAACCATTCCAAAGTGAGCTGGAGGCCATCACCTGATGAAGCCAAGATTTTGCAGACCAGGGGGCCTCTGCTAAGCGTTCCCAGCACACCCTCACTATTAGTTTTGGCATGCCAAGTCTTTCCGGTGTCCTCCTCCGCCCTCTCATCCACCGGGAGAAACACAAACATACAAGCAGCAAGCCGAGGGGATACCAAGACACCCACCCCAGCCTGCCGCCTCTCACCAGGGTCAACTCCAGAGTGAGGCAGAGTCCAGCCCCTCTCCAGGGGACTGGTTCCAGAGCCTAAGCCTAATGTTGAGGTGAGCCCAACTATATCTAGCCGATACCTCTCAACCTCACGCACTAACTCAGGCTCCTTCCCCACCAGAGTGGTGACATTTCATGTCCCAATTGCCAGTCTTGGTAGCCGGGAATCAGTACTGCCCACCACCTGGCTGCACCCAACTCTGGGTGGTGAACCTGCAGGATGATGGGCCCATGTCCCTTTTTCAAGCTGTGCCCGGCCGGGCCTCATGGACTAAGACCCAGGCACCAGACTGTGAATCCCAGATTTCTCTGA